TTTTATTTTTTAAAATTCTGATACAGGATCTTGTGAAGTCATCAAATCATCCAGTTTGGGCTCAAACTTGTGATGCTCCCCTCTCACTCTCTGAATGCTGGAATTACAACCATGTACCACTCTTCCTGGTTTATAGTTTTTAGTGAGAAATTTCAGAGGTTCCTTTTGTATCCTCTCTGTGTAACCTAACAAAGATGCAGTTCTAGGTTTTAGGACATTATATCTGAGTGATTTTGATTTTGATTATTTGGTTAGGATTACTCCCTCATAACCCAAGTTCCTGTAGAGTTGACTTTTGTTTTTCTAATTAATAAGTAGCATATTAGCAGGAAACATGTCAAAACTGTATTAGTCTATAAACTGTATTAGTCTATAAATTAGTCTAGAATTATCAATGGCTGCTGTAAACAGTTATCAAAAACTTTGTGGTTTAAGACACCAAACTTTATGCTCTTGTAGTTCTAGAGTTCAGGGGTCTGAAATCAGTTATCATTGGACTGAGATATGGCGTTAGCTGTGGGGTGCACTCTGCTGAAGCTCAGAGATGGAATCTTATTCTTTACATGTTTTGTCATCTGTAAGTTGCATTCTTTCAATTCTTTGGCTAACGGCCATTCACCAACTTCAAAACCAGCTGAGGTGACTTTTGTATCCCCTCTGTGATTCTGTTTCTCTCTTCTTTCTGTTATTGCACAATCTTTCCGCTGCCATTGTTATACTCAAATTCTTACATGTTCATGACAGGGACTGTTAGCAGGTGATTGGATCACAGAGTTCTGCACTCATCAATGGATTTATCCACTGAGTTCATAGCTCACTGTGCTGGAGATGGGTCACTGTGGGAGGTGACCAGGAAAGGTCCAATTTCTGCCTCACCTCCTCCCTTCTCTCTCTGCTTTCTGGTCACCATAGTAACAGCAACTTTCCTCGATTCTGGCACTTCCACCTTGCCTTTTCTGCATTTGAATCTGCTAACCATAGACTGAAACATCAGAAACCATAAGCCAAAATAAGCCTCTCTTCTTTTAAGTCATGAGTGTCAGGTGTTGTGTTCTTCTGATGCCAAAAGTGGCTAAGATGGCCATCAATCTCTCTTTGCTTTTCTTGTAAGGAAATGTGTGGTTCCACATTGGGTGCCACGACCCAGTGAGGCTCCTGAGGTTCTTGAGATTAAGAAACCGGCAAGAGGATGAGTAAAACAAAAGACAAAGTTGGGGTCAGGTGGAGCCCTTATCCTCCTGATGGGAGGAAAGAAACTGCTCAACCACTGTAACACCTTTATGTATGTGCTAGGAAAGATGATGTTAATTTCAGCCCCTCTGCCTTGCAACTTGTTGGCCTGGCCCCTTGCCTTCTTGGTGCTGGAACAACTTGTTTACAGAGCTTGTTTTGGTCTCTGTGTTCTCAGGGCTGGCCTTGCTTTAGCCCCACACATGTGATCAATCTCCAGCTTTAACGGCTCCCTACTGGTAGACCCACTCACACAATCCAGAATACTCTCCCATCTCAAGATCCTTAAGGACTTTGCCATATAAGGTAACACCTGTGAGTTTCAAGAATTAGAATGTGTTCATCTTTGAGGAGCCAATTTCTAACATATTTCAGAAACTATACAAATATTTTGTTTTCTGTCATACTTTTGTCTACTATGTTGTATACCTATCAATGATTCTTTCCTAAAGCATTTATTTGGTGTTCTATTTCTATTTTTCCTGGTCCTAGATTTATTGACTATAATTCTATTGTGCATAAACATGTGTGTTCCCTTCCATTTGTTTATTGGTAGTTATGAACCTATGGTCTGTGTGCCACAGGATTGTTCATTATTACTGAACGCTCTAAATGGTTCGCCAACACTGGTTTAATTATTCAATTCTTTATTTATATGAATAGAAGCCAGTGGATATTTATTATATGGGTAACACTCGTGAATTACTTATTATGTTGCTAGCTTACAGAATTAACCATCGCAAACATCTTCAAGATGAATTCTATTGTCCTTTCTCCCTCATCCTACATTTCTATGAGCTCTATGTTACAAAGTTTTTAGAATCTTGTCGCATGTTTCCTTCCACAGCCTTAGAATTATTTCTCAAAAAGTTCTTTTTCTTTTTTACTGGGAAAGAGCATTTAGAAACACAGGGCTAGGTACTAGACATTGTTACTGGAATATCAGTGCTAGCAGGTCATCTCAGCCAAACAGGAGAAAATGCACATAGACACATGCACACACACACACACACACACACACACACACACACACAATCTGCATTGATTTTTATATCTGTCTATCTATACATCTACTTTCAAGACCATATGTTAAATCTAGGCTAAGCTTTTCAGAAGCTTAGCATGTTGGTCTTTTGTTTTCAGAAACCAACTACCATGCTAGAAGTCTGTCTGTCATAGTAAGAAAGTCCAAGTTAGCTATGTGATCAGGAGCATCAATACACAAGCCATGCAGACGAAACTTTCTTGAATCTTTTTCCTTTCCTCTGCAGCCTGGTGATTCTAGCCAATGCCCAGCACAACTTCCCAGCAGAACCTTGTCCAGACTTCTGACCCCCATGGATTGATATTAGAATCCATTAAGTTTTAAGATGGTTTATTATAAGTGATACAAAATTAGGTGTTTAACTCAGAGGAATAATTCAATGAATATATATGATCAGTATAGTTTGATAGTCTTCATGGAACTTTGGCTGACTAAACAAGGAAGTAGCATGCTATGGTTTCAGTAACTTTTTTTCCACTAGGAGAAGACATTCAAATTCCCACTTTTATTGAAAGTTCCACTAACTCAAGTTGACCACTAATGTCACTAAAGGAATGGAGTATGACAAATTATTTTGAGGTGGCCATCCCTCAGGAACAACATCCTGACCAGGTACAAAATCTTTCCTATACGCAGATGAAATTGAAGACACATCATAGCCAAAATGCAGAAATTGTGACGAGGAAAGGCTTTAAACTAGAAAAAGTTCAATTTACTGAGTGACTCCTGTGTTACACAGTTTCTATGGTGAACCTCAATGAGCCTCAACTTCTGCTATTCACGTCTCTCAGTTTTTTCCACTTCTTATCAAGCCTTATGTACAGGCATTTTAAAGAAAAGTCACACTGCTGTTTATTAGTCCTTTTGAGATGAGATTAGAATAAAAGACAACAGTAGAAATGGTATACTTAGTGGTAGGGAGGGCCTAGAACATAGTTACTCATGAAAAATTTCTGCAAGAACGAACAACATCTATATTTATAGGATATTCTTGATCAGTGGATCGATGGAGGAAGGGGAGCAAAGGTTTCCCTTCATGGAACATTTAATAACGTCTGGAGATATTTCTGATTTTCATAACTATTGGAGTGTGGTAGAGAAGGGTGGAGGAGAAGGTTTGTTACTGACATCTAATAAGGTGAGGGCAGGGGAAACTGACAGTGCACAGCTCAGCCCCATAGCAAGGTGTTATTAAGCATGAAAGGCCAGTGGTTCTGCTGTTGTGTTTCAGGGGAAGCCAAACCATGAGATGGAAGAGTAGGTACCTGACTGGTTATGTCTTTGTCTTTGAATTTAACTTTAATATAGATTTAATATCATTTTAGGGGAAGAGAGATGTGGGTTTGTGAAGTCTATGATACTTTTAAAATAAAAATTCATATTTTGATTACTTATTTGGACTTGTTATGAAATTCTTGCCCTGACTTCTTGCAGTGAACATACTTCCAAAGTGGAGAGAACAAAAACCTTCTAATTAATGGCGAGCCCTTATTAACTGTTATTCGCATTTTCAGTTACATTAAAAACATAAGTCAAGTGACCTTAGGCTTTCATCTAATCAGAGATCGAGGGACGCTGGCCAGGCCACAGTATCTTCTTGTCTGTAGTTTATTCTGAAGACTGGGGCTCTGATGAGATAGTTTCTAGGATATTTATTTTTACTTCTTCCTTATTATGGTTCTTTCATTTAGAGTCATACTCTAGATATGTAGAGAATGGGTTAAGTATGGACAAAACTGGTGGAGAGTTAATAATAGTGACATGTAAAGCAGAAGGACACCCTCCCTGGGGGATTACCAGTAGTTGTGATTATCTGGTGACTCGAAATGCAGAGATTCAAAGTGGTTGCAAAGTTAACAAATAGAAAGTAGGATAAGCCATGCATAACATGGCATATGTGTGCACCTCTGATGTATACACTCTGTAGATGCCTGCTTTGGAGAAGAACTGGGGTGAATTGAGGCTGATGTGTTGATGGTGAGGGGGCCTTTGAGTCAGAGCCAGTTACTGGATCAGAATTTAGCTGACCCTGTGATTAATGTTGCCTACTCCGTGAAAATGTGCAGAACTGGAAGTCATAAGATCTTCTCTATTATAGGGAACTTTTGAGGGGAACCTAATGACACGAATAAGAGGATAAATACATTTGCAAAGTGCTAATCAGCATTTTCGATTCTATCCAGTTGTCTTGACAAGGTTAAAGTGAGGCCCAAAAGACTCAGCAAGAAAAATTCCCATTGGAAAAAATTATCCCACTGAAGGAAATGATGTTTCAATAGAGTCGAATGGAAAAAGAATACTTAAAGGTCATAAGATAGAACTTAAGTCTAGATGATGACTTTTTCTTGGCCCTAACTGTCAGCTCTATAGACCGTACCAAGTTACACCTACAAGATATGCAACAGGAAGGCCATCTGGAAGCCAGACTCCTACACTAGTCTGTTGATTTTGCGCCATTATCAGGACATGGCCAGACTCCGAGGTCCACCCATCCATGTCCATTCTTTTCCACGTCCATAGCCACCATTTTAACCCATGCACCTCTTTTTTCCTCTCCTTACTGGCCTTCTTTCATTCCTGTGTTTTCTCCTAAACCAAGCACAACTCTTAAGTGTTACTTGTCTTGTAAGTGTTGTAAAACTCATTCTAGTTCATTATGACTATAAGTGATTTTTTTTTCGAAAAAAAAAAAGGGTTTTTTTTTTTTTTTTTTTTTTTTTGACAGGGTTTCACTATGTAGTCCAGACTGGCCTTGAACTCATGACAGTCCTCCTGCCACAGCCTCCCAAGTACTGGGATTGCAGGCATGTGCCACCATGCCTGGCTCTGTAAGTGATTTTTTCATTAGTTCTCCTCAATACCTATAACTTGCATGATTCTTGCCACCAACAGCAATGTCAAAGGTACTATGTTTGTTAGGCTCCAGACCTACAGAGAAGACTGGCACAAGGGACTTTAAATCATATTGAGGAACAAGACACTTAAGTAAACTTATTGCATAATAAATTATGCGGCTACGTGAGGAATGCTGGTACTATTGGAATTCATAGATAGGAGTAACTGTAATCTGATGTGTTTGGGAAAGTAATTATGTAGGAAATGTGCCATTATACAGAGAAAAAAGAGACTTATATAAATAAAGGCAGGAAGAGTATTACATGTGGAGATTATGTGGAGGCAGGACAGGCATGGGGTGATTTGGAAGTAGAGATCTTAAATCAACAAAGTTAGCTAAAGAGTTCACTTGGGTAGTGAAGGGGGTGCCTGTGTTAGCGATAGATTGTAAGTCTGGGGAGAGGCACATTTCAGAGTGTTTGGGGGGCTATGGAAGGTAAGCAGGTCACTTTATGGGCATTTTGATTTCACTGCAGGTTTCCCCTCAAGAAGTGACACCCTTTGCCATGCTTTGGGAGGAGGGTCCTGGGAGGGTACTAGGAAGTCCTAGGCAGTGATGAAAAGACCAGAGCAAAAGAGCTAACTTTCATTATCTAATGACTGAGAAACAGAAAGGGACTAGATCAGACACAAGACCTTTGTATGTTGCTCTTTAAATTTTGTTCTGTGTACCTATGTTGTGTTAGTTTTACTGGATTGCAAATGTCTTGGAAGGCAGAGTGTATTTTCCTATTTTTATAACATACCCTTTTTGCATAGTGCTTGAGATCAAGTTAGTGTATAACTTCTTAATGTCATTCTAAAATTTTCATCATGCTTAGTTGCTCTTAAACATAGAGCAACTAAGCTCTATGTTTGATATGATATGAGCATGTAAGAATCAGGAGTGTGTAGTGTATTCTCCACGTAGTATATTCTTTAGGACTAAGAGTGCTGAGTTATTTAAATCAAATCAATCATGTTCAAGCTGTGGATCCTAAGAGTTTTGTTGGGAAATGGAGCCAGGAGCCTGAGAAGCCTCTGCCACGTATTTAGGGATCTAGAAACTTATCACCTCAGCAGGCTTCAAGATCCATCCTTCTCTGGAAGAATATGTATTTATACAAGGTCATGGTAGTGGTTACAGTTAGCACATGGGAGAAATTGACGTTAAGTCTGAAAAACCAGGCCATCTGTCTGCCTGCTCTATGGAAAGTATCAGTCTCTATTACAGATTTAGGCTGAGCCCATATGTCAATCTGCAAAACAGCCCTGCAGTTAATTATGGGATTCTCCCTGGTCAGTTTAGTCACGGCCAATTAAAGTGGCTGTAGCAATTTCCTTGGAATCTGAATTCTAGATTGTCTTGTTCTTCTGTTTAACACTTTACTGTTCTACATTTTATTTTCAGAGACAGATCAGAAATTTCTTAAGGGTAAAGTTTATGTCTTATACTTCATTTTATTTTGCTTAGCTCTTGGTGCCAAATAGAAAATTACTTGGTGTTCAATAAACAATTGCTGAGTTGAACTGTCAGTAAAACTCCCATTATCAGAAATATGGAAGATCATCTATTCTTGAAAATTTATTGCTTCACTGGTAAAAATGAATTTCTGGGTTTAGTATGGAAGTTTGAAGACTTTGAGAGATAGTTCCATGTTGCCTAAAGTATAAAAAGTGGCAGAAATAAAAAGTGAGAAAGTCACAGCACCACTGTGCCAGTTCCAGCTATCCCCTTGATGAAGCCATACGCTTCACCTTAGGCTGATTTCCACCATCTTTCATTTTATGTTTCCCTCCCCAACACACATGAAGTCCACATGTGGTTCCTTCCTAAGAGTTTCGTTGGGAAATGGAGCCAGGAGCCTGAGAAGCCTCTTTAAGCATCATAGATACCCAGTAGAAAGAAATCCAAAGTTATATAAAAATAAAATGCCTTTGAGTTAACAACTAGTTGCATCTCTCCAAAAACTTTCTTAAACGCAGATAGGCATGTACTGTACACAATAATGGTAATGAAAGTTAATCTTTCAAGAGTACTTGAATGATCCCCCTCTATCTGTTTCTCCCCAAAAGAAGAGTCTGGGCCAGACACTGATCCTCTTGTGGTGATGAATTTAGAATGGGTGTGTGACCCAACTGTGGCCCAAATGAAGAAGGAAGTCTCTGGAAAGTTTCTGGAAAAGATTCTTTCACCCTTTCTCACTGAACATGAGCAAGAATTAAGGCCATGTGTGGCTGTTATATTGTCCATGGAGGGCTATAATGTGGCCAAGAGAAGCAGCAGCTTTGGGACTCTGTTCAGTCGATGCTGAACAGAGAGAAAACAAAACAAAACAAGACAAAACAAAACTGAGTCTCTGACAAGTCACTGAGTTGTCAACCATTTTGTTGTGGAATCTTCCTCTCCTGGAGTGTTCCAGCTTACACGAAACAACACATTTAGTTACTGTTTTAGGCAATTTGAGTTGTTTATTTATGGTTGCTCCTTACAGTCATAATAGCTCTGAGCAAGACAATGTCTTAAGTTTACAAAGATTATCTCAATTACTCATCATAATAACTGTACAACCATAACCATCCTTTCCTCACTTCCCAAGTAGGCAAATTGACAATTAGATTGTGTAAGCAACTTTCTTACACTCACAGAGCACATGAGTGCAGGAGCGTTCTCATTTGTTGTTGAGGAGCCGGACTCTACCATACTCTTAAAACACTTTTCTTAAATCCACACTCTGGAAACCATCTGTCAATTGATTTCATACAAAGAACAGAAGGATCATACTAAGACACACAGAGGGTGGACATGCCAAAGATTCTAAAACAAAAGTCATACATTAAAAAATGGGGGAATACGTGCTCATTATACTCATGTGGGAGATAATAACTCCTATGTTAATGCCATCCATGACTTAAATTCTATGTAAGAAGAAGGGTTTAATTGGACTTCTACCCTTCTATCAGTCTAAAGACTCTGCCTTAGAAGAAAGGAAAGTTTCACCAGCAGAAACCAGAGACTTCTTTCCAAATTCCACCTGGTTGTCTCAGTTTTAGGGAAAGTGGATTGACCGATAGCAGTGGGAAAAACCTTCAGGTAGGGTAGCAAATCACAAAGCCGAATGTGTGTGTGTGTGTGTGTGTGTGTGTGTGTGTGTGTGTGTGTGTGTCCCTTCTAGGGACGCCAAGCTTGAGAAGGGCAACTGTGCCACAGTCCCCTCATGCATGACCCCACTCCTCTAGGGGGCGCCTGAGTACCCTGAAGCCATTCCATAGTCTACAGTGTCCGGCCTCTAATTTCCCCTGGGAGCAGCTTGCCTCTTTTGACAATAACCTTCCCTAGAATTCATAAAAGCTTTTCTATTCTTCAATCTTCACATGAATTTCTTTTTTCATTATAGCCTGGACAAGGTTCAACAGATTTAAAGTTGAGGTCTATGTATGCTTTTTGAGGGCTACCTCCTTTTTATCTATTATTACTTTAACCCTGCTTGAAGCTTTCTTTAGCCCAAGGATATGCTCAGATGAACAGTTTCTTTTGAAATATGACTTGTAATCAAAACATTAAGTGATCTTTAGATAAAATGTAATAAACAATTTACAAGGAGCTTCCTAAAAATATCTTTCATGCCATACCCCAATGTTTGTGTTTGTGTATGTTTACTGGAAATTACACGAGATTTCTAGGTTCATGTTTGGATATTCTTCTCACCCCCATCACCACCAAATGGTTTAAAACACTTTGATAAGTATGTTTAAAACTTAGCCCATGTGAAAGTAACTTTGACATAGTTTTTAATAATGTACTGCAGGGTATGAATATGTATTTAGTGGGTGGTGTCTGTGTGATCCTAAAGTTTTTCTCCATAAGTAACTTTTCCTTTTTACAAGAAAATTCAAACATAGCTCTCATTCAAAAACTGCATCATTCAAACTTTCAAAACCAAACATGACAGGAACTTATCCAAGGAATTTACTTCACTATGAGAGAAACTTTGTTTTTCTTTCTCTTTTTACTTTTATTATTGTTTATTGAATCTGAACTCGTATATACTAAGAGCAGACAAATCCTATGTATACTAGATTTCAGGAACATTTTTTAGTTCTAGATATAAAAAAGCCTGCCTGAGTTATTAGATATTTAGATCTATTTCATAAGGTGCTGAGTCATGTTTGGTTTTATATTTTTGGATGATAATCATCACGTTGAGTTGTATGTGTACATGTGCACACCACACATTGTATGTGTACATGTGCACACCACACATTCTGAAAACACATGACAACAGAACCAGACATGATAGAAACACTGCAGATCCAAGATCCTAAGAGAGATGGCTTTTCTACCTTCTTCTTGTTTGGCTTTTACTGCTCTTCACTATTACCCATCATTCCTTTCACCTTCCAGTCATACAAAGTATCCCATTTCTCTTGTATTTCTAATGGAGACTAGGTTATATCTTCTTGGGCTCCAACTCCTCCTCTTCATCCTCACTTCCTCTCTCTACATGAGACAAAGTGGAGATTGAGACTGAATGCTGATTTCCAACAGTCTTTTCTTAATTCTAACTTCCCCTTTTCCATAGACTCCTAGTCTTGTTTTATGAGCATTGTCCTTTCAAATCCTTTTCCTTTAAAAAATGTACTATCCTCTATTTCCTAATAATTTCTTGTTTCTGTATTTATCTTTTGCATTCTTTGTGCCCCTACCTCCATGAGTCTATGATGACCCAATTAATCCATTCACATTTAAGAGTAAAGTGGTGGTGACGTTTCTGGTGTCTTCTGCTGGGCTGATTAACTAGTGGACATCCCTTTAGGGTCTTCCAAACAGAAAATACAAAATTACAGTACAAAGTTCTAGCTAGACTGTCCTAGAGTGCTTTCTTCTTAAACACCACTGCTAACATCCATAGTCCTCATTTTTTATAGGCATTTTTTGTTCGTTTGTTTCATTTGTTTAAATAGAAAGGATGTCTGCTATTTTGTCACTGGGGAGGCAAACACTATATAGGGGACCATTCTGTGGGTGGGTGAGAGGACGGGATACAGTCAACTGTGGATTTGTAGAGTTTCAGCTACTCCCTCATTCTGAGTGCTGTGCAGGGCTGTCCAGAGCAGACCACACCGCTTCAAGTGCTCTGCTGCCCAGTACCTTAGGATGGAGCTTTCTCAGCCTTCCTTTCTAAGTTACCACCCACCCAACAATTTGCATCTTCCAGAAACTTAACAGTTTTTACATCTGATAGTAGCAGATGCCATCTTTGTTATTGTTCCGATATCTTTTAATTTATTTACCATGATTTTAAAAGTGCTACTGAAACAAAAATTTAAAACATACACAAAATTAGTGCTAATATATGTTAAGCTCCATTTATTTATCATTTAGCTTTAAATATTATTAGTATTTTGTGAAAATCTTAACAATCCGTTTGCTTTTTCCTTGAAATATTCAAAAACAAATTCAGAGATCTTTCCATTTGCCCTATAAATATCTCAGTATACATCTCTAACTCAGAAATAATGTGAGCATTCTTACATGAAACAAAGTTAACTCTTTAATATTACATAGTTCACAAACATCATTTAAATTGTTTCAAAAGTGACATTTAATAGTATGATGTGAGGTCCCATCATGGTCCACAAAATGTTTTTAAGTGGTTGACATCTTTTATATTTCTTTTATTTTGTATCAGTTCTTTTGAGATATTTTCCTCCATATTGAATTTGCCCACTTTGATTTCTTTTGATACCCATGATGTCCAAACCTCAACAGTTGTAACAAGAAAAGGCAGAGTTTTTATCTCTGGATCACATTGTGGGTCATTCACCTTTAGCAATGGTTCAACTACTTCCTTTGTCCTCTTATCCTGGAACTCAGGCTATCCATGAGTACATCTTCTGGGAAAAGTAAACAGTTAAAAAAAAAACTGGTAATGAAATAGATGAGAAAGCACCATTCTTACATGACATGATCTCTTCTGCTCACTTAACATTGGTGAGAGCAAGTTGTAAGGTGCAGACACCATGAATGGGGCAGCCATGTGTCCTATCCATGAGGTATAACCAGCCAGGGGGAAGCAGGCATGAATGTGGGATCTTCTTACACGAAGAGGGAGTGAATAGTTGAGCAATAACACAATCCACAGCACATGCCTTTGATCAGTTAGCGAAAACCAGAACATTTGCTCTGTGGATTATTCCACATTCTCAATTTGTCTGATTGTTTCCTCATGGTATTTTCTTTTATGTTGCATATTGCCTGGAAATTTATATTTAGGTGTAAAGGAACAGTTAGGTTTGAACTCATATTGTTTTCTTGGCAAGGCTGCTACACATCACGCTATGAAGTCTCTGCTGTTCTACGCCTCCTCTGAAACCTCAGCAGAGCTGATGTTCCACTTGCACCAATGCTAAGAGTGAACAGTAGGGCTCCTGGCAAACCTTGGTCCTCATTATAGCATTGCTAGTCAACTTTCCACCTTAGCCTTTCTGCACCCAATGATGATTACTGCCTAGAACAGTGGTGGGAAACCTATGGCACACATGTCATCTGTTTTACTTTTAAGGCAAAAGATGTTAATGTATGATTTATTTTTTCTAAACTGCAACTTCAATATTCAGGTTTAATTGAAGTGTTGGCGCTTTGCAATAAATAAGTAGGTTTCGAGTTGCTCTTTGGGCAATCATCTCTGAAGTTTGCCATTGCTGACCTACTGCTATCATTCCATTAGGAACTGAAAAATTACATTTTTTCTCTCATCTGTCTTCATTTACCAAGTAAGATCAATCAAATGTTATGATCAAACTACTGTGGTAAGAACTTAGGTATATTTTTAGATCTGAATAAACTTTCATTTGAGAAAGATTTTAGTAAAGATGGTTTAGGAAATCTCTTGGGTACCTTCCAGCTCAAATGATTTATGAATCGGTGACCTGTGAAGCACCAGTGTTTCATGGCAGGACAAAGAAATAGAGCTAATAGAGGGAGGTTCTTTGTGAGACCACGGAGATAGCCATACAGAGTCTCTCTCTAGTCTGAAAGAGAAGAATGATTATGAAACTATAGAAGATCCTTTGGATGTGAGTTTTTTTGTGTGTGTGAGATCAGAGAGAATGACCTGCAAGCATGTGATCCTTAGAAGCTATGAAGAATGACGATGAGAACAAATTTTACAAACTTATATACCTCAGACCAGTGTAGACTGATACTTTAAAGCATAAAACAGTAAATCTCTTCCCTTCTCCTTGACGTATTTCATCCTATGTTAGTAGGCATTTAACTTTCTTCAAATCACCCTTATGTTCTCATAGATAACAATCTGTGCTCCCATGTTCTCAGAAACATGCATTTAACCATCATTAACCCATCACTCAAAGCCTCTGCCGCCTTGAAGCCATTACCTGCCACTTCTGTGGAACATAGCTCTGCTATGTTTGCCACATAGCCTAATGTGCTAAAGCTGCTCTTGTCCCCTTTGAAGTGGGAAGAATTCCTTTCTTTCTTATTTGTATTTCATTTCATTACATGAGTAGAAATGCAATCCTCTTGGGCACGCAATGATTGAAAAGATTTTAGGGAAGCGTCTTTTTCAAATTGAACCCACTGTCCCCTGTCATAAGACTCAGACACACATTTGTGAGGCTTGCAAAAACGGCCTCTCTGAATGACAGCTGCATTATTTCTGATGAGTTGCTTCTTCTGATGTATGAGCTGGGAGGTGCAGGTAGCTCTGTGGCCTGGTATAAAAGAGGATACTGCTTGATCCTTTCTTAATATAGTTGTGGGCAAAGAAAAGGAGTTGGCTAAGAGACCACCCAGGGTCTCTTTTTCAGATCTTAGTGACAGTGACTTCCTGTCAGTGGAAGTTGACACTGGCTTCTATTGTGCAGAATTGATTTACAGATGATCAAGGCAGGATCCTATTGGTACAAGAAATATGTTTATTCCGAATGCTTCACTCCCAGCTCAGAGAAACAGAACACAAAAGGAATAACAGGACAGATTGCATTGTAACCCCTAAAAACAGTGTAATCTAAACATTAAGGATGATTGTAGCAAAAAGACACACGCAAAAGCCACCAAAGAAAGAGTGTTATACAGTCTGCTAAGTAAACTAACAGTAGCTCTAATTGTCTAAATCCCTTGACAAAGTTCCCCTTCTTATGCCTTTATTTGCGTGCTGATTTCCTTTTAGACAGTCTTAGAAGTCACGAAATGTCCTTGTTACAGAGAACAATTCACTAAATCTTCCACAGAGAGGAGAGAGGAAAGTCTTCCAGAGCATACCAGGCATCCACAGAGGACCCACTGGGCTGATCAGCACAGAGGAAAAATTCATTAGAAATTTCGAAATAACAAACTGCAGTTGAAGCTCCTCAAAGTCTGCCCTGTATAGTTTTATACAATGCTCTGTTTATTCCTCTCCACAAGTGATCAAAATAAAGCAGTTTTGTGGAGCAGGGGTCCTTGTGTCTATTTTCTCAATGAACTGAATTTTTTATCACTATTTGAGCTTCCTCATCCTACAAAACTTTTCCTGTTTTTTTTGCAGACTGTGCACTGTTTGGAACACACATCTAGATTCTGCTGAGTGTCTATGAACCTCCAAGATCTCTACTATTACTAGTAAAAGATGACTGTAGATGTCCACACAATAAAGTTCTTAGATTGGTGCTACAATAAGTACATGTGAAATCTCCTATTCATTGCATTCAGATCAAAATAATAAAGATGCTACAGGTAAAGATTGGCCTTTCTGAAACTGTATAAATTCACTTGGTGAAAACGAACCATCAGTAATAATTTCTTGGTTCAATTTTAAAGTAAGTAAAAGGAAAAAGAGTAATTAGAACTAGATAAAACCAGATTAAATACTTCAGATTATTCTAGAATCAATGTTTTATTCTCAGTTATTTCTTAGAATGATTCATCCCCTATGGTTTGGAAGTTTAAAATCTGAACCTATCTTTGTCTCTTGATGAAAAGATTCCCGAAGTCCCAGTACATGTGGCTCATGCTGAAAGCCCCCTTGCTGCCCTCAGTCTTGACTTGACAGTTGTCCCCAGTGGCTAGTGGGGAATCGTCTTGAGAATCCACTCTCAGACTATCCCCCTGATTTAGTTGTTTTGTTTAACAGCAAATAACAGTACAGCAAGGCAATCAGGACTTCACATTCCCAATCTCAGTTTGTGTCTTGCTTTAATGATACAGGCTTATAAATTAGGTATCTGTGCAGCTTGTGAACTGCACAAGGTGAAGACCTTCCCCATGTATATTTGGAATAAAGACCAGTATGCCTTTGGTGGCTTGGAACATTGGCTCTAGTAACTCCATTGCCATTTATTTTTATAACTGGACTTCCTGTATGATTTTAATGGTCTTAGGGGTTGGAGTATAGAAATCTATGATTCAGCTGGGACTCTTTGTGTCTTTATTTTGCTTCCATGTAGCAACACATGGAAACTAATGATATGGGTCCTGAAGTCCAACTGTCGAGGGTCAGGTTTTCATTCTGACACATAGTCTCTATGAACTTAGAAAAGTTTCTAAACTTCTCTATCAGAATCTTTTGTAATACAGGGATAATATATCTATTTGTCACATGAGGTTGTCATGATGATAACATGAGATAACACATGCAAAATTATTATTACAGCACAAGACCTTATTACATGTTAGCTGCTTTAATTGTTATAAATTGTAGGACTTCCAGAAATTCAGGGTGGGAATTTCCAAGATATACTTTTTCTATTTGAAAATTTCAAAATATAAATGCTTTGACTGAATTATTCTAATATGAAATATGACAAATCTCTATTGTGGTTTGGATCTGGAATGTTCCCTGAAAGGCACATAGATACATAGCCACAGCTAAGGTCTCCAGTCAGTTCAAGTGTCTGGATTTTAAGTGATAGACATGTTCTACAATGACAAGTTTGATCCAGACAGGGAAATATTACAATTACTGCTTATAAAATAAGTCTGGACTTCCACATTTTCTGTATTACTTAAGTGAAAAATAAATCTGACTGTCAAAGAATCCACACCCTGTTCAAGATTTATGTTCAGCTTTCCTGACACTTGATGCACTGAGTAGGATCAGGCCAATTCCAAGGTGTTTATGCTTGAAGAGCACACTGGAACATTTTTCAAGCCAACAATTGGAAACGGATACCTGGCCAATCCTCTCCTCAGCTGCTGGCATCAGCAGAAAAAAGATTTCAAGAACCTTTAACAGAATGTCTCCTGTAAGTGTTCACATCAACATTAACTCCTTCTACTTCATGATTGAAAATTATACTTTAAGCCTCCAGGCTCATCTATGTTTCTTTATACATAACCTCCAAGCAAGAGGACCAGTGCTTCTGGATCCCTGGAGAGCTGGGCATCCCATTATGACTGTGCTCCTGGACTCAGTTCCCTGTCATAGGCTCTTGGTGTCATGTTGACAAACATAGCAGATGCCCGGTTTAGCCTCAGTGTTATTTGGCCCACTTTTCCTGCCATGGTGGGTGGTGGGGACTGGTGGCCGTATTATGAGAGGAGTGATTGCATTTTGCCTGCGCTTTTCAAACAGATGTCACAGTGACCTGCTCAGAATGCAAGAATTGGCTGTAGCAATTCAGAACAGAAGGAATATGGCAACTGATTCTTGCCTGGTAGAAACAGGCAGTGAACTGGAGTTACTGACTTCATGAGTAAGCAAAGGAGAAAAATAGTTGAGGGTGTAAGAGATGTGGAACAGAACTGATATTTACTTTGGGGTTTATTTGTTAATCTAAACTGTCCTCTCCTGCCCTAAAGGAAATCTTCCATCTGGCAAAGTGATTGAAAGCACAGCTTTAGCATTAGACCTATTTGGGAAAGATTTCTGGTTACAAGATGTTACTTTAGTTGGATTGCCTGACCTGTTTAAACTTTGGTTTCCTCATTATCAAAGACAATAGTTCTGGTTATATAAGTTAAATGAAAAATAAACATCAATATATAAAGACTGGTATCTGCCAAGTGGTGATGGTAACAATAGTAATGGTAGTAGAGGGGCAAAATTGGTCATCATGGAGATGTTGAGGATGGAGAAGATAAACAGGTGGAAGAAGAGGTGATGATAAACCTTGTGGACTCTTGATTTTCACCATCTGAGTCAAGGCTGTCTAAAACGCCATAGCATATGTCCTGAGCTGGAGAAAAACCAAAGCTTGTGGACTGCATCCACTTATTGGCTCCTTAAAAATACACTGTCCCACCACTAATGCTTTCTTTTAAAGAAATAGGAAAAAATAGCTCCCACTCTTTGCACTTGCCTCACCTGGGCTCCTCAGAAACTTGGCAGTGAGGATTCTTCTGAGGGCCTTAGTGGAGATTAGCCTATGAGTCTTGCTCTTCGGGGACCATTATTGTTCCCTTTCCTGGATTCCCCAGCCAGGCAGACCAGGTGGTTTTCCATGCCATCAGACTGAGATTAGATTCAACCTCAGCCCTCAACGGGAAAGGTACCATTTCCTTTTGCCAATCCCCTGGAGCCAACCTCCATGCTGTGATTGGCCTTCTCCCAGAGTGACTCATCAAACCAGAGTTTGTCCTGGTGCTGACCCCTGACGTCTTCCTGAGATGGGGTGAGACCTGCTGGGAGGAAAGGCAATCATTATATCATCCCTGAGCTGAGGCCACGTAAACACTTCCCTTCCCTTCTGTAATGAATGGACTCCAAAGGGCAGGCTGACTTGTCTTGGTGGGGCTCTCTTCAGCTAAGGGTGTGGATGAGAAATTAAACTTAGGTTGGTGCTGGGAACACTTAGATATCAATTTTCTAACTTTTCTTCATTATGATAGAACATTAATACTACTGTGGAAAGATCTTTGCCTTTTTTTTCCTTCTTAAAATATCTTAAAGAAGCAGAAAGGAAATGACTCTACTGACTGCATATGGACTGAAAAAACACTAATATTTCATATGGTGGGGGGACCCTACAATATAAGAAGATAGTACCAAGGAACATGGAGTAATGGTTATCCTTTGAAGGAAATGAAGGAAAACAGTTCAACCACTGAGAAGATGTTTGATAGACTGGGTCAGAGATGGGCTTGAGTGAAGATTTTGAACACTCAGCTACTGTTAGAAGAAGCCCTCAGAGGTGCAGGGTGCTGTGAGCCAGCATTCAGTCTAGGCCCTGAAGACAACCGGGGTTTTTGCAGTGTCTGGGAAAACATCCTAGGTGGAGAATGAATACAGGGCTGTGAAAGGTAAATTCATCACACAGTGAGTCACTTAATGGTGCAAAACGCATATGAGTGGAAAAAGTAGTGAATGAAAAAATGATCTGGATTAAAATCTTAGAGGACTTGAGAAATATGCTAAGAAATTCTTGCAGGATGGGATGCTTCCACGATGGTCCATTTTTCCAAATCTTGTAACTGGAAATTCTCAGAATTATTAATGCCAATTGGCAAGATCAGGCTTACCCATATTGGTATATAGGTGGCAGCTCATCATATATCTAGATTTATTTTCATCATTGGATTTCAGACCTATTAACAGTTCTGAACTGTTCAAAGGTTAGGACCAGAAAAATATATTTGTGTAAAAAGCTGATGTCCCATTATGGAAAGTAATCATTCCAAGGACTTGATTCTTGGTCAGAATCATCAACCTGACCAATTCCAAATCCATGACATTTCATGGGGTCTTTACTATGCCTTGTCATGGATTGGTCAACCAGATCTGCCCTCTACCAATTTATAAGCCCAATATTAGATAAAAGTCCTATAGGGAGGAAATGACAGAAAGCTCTAGACCAATTAAATGGTAACTACAAGAATTTTGAGGAAACAAGCCTAATATATAACTTGGCCATAATCCGTCATAGAGTAAGTATCATCACATGAATTTGAAGATTTAGGCAGACATCAGATGATAAAGAGTATTCTAGGTGCTGGAGGATAGTTTGAATTATTAAGTAAAATGGAAAGTAACTGGAGAGAATATCAGCATCTTTGTTACATGATCTGACTCACAAGTTGCAAAATCCACAGTATTTTTGGAGGAGGTGTTGGTGGAAGTTGGTCTGGAACTGTTACCAGTTAGAAACTTTTGCAGTGGTCAGGACTTGAGATGATAATCAGCTCCATTGCCCCAGCGGTGTGGAAAGGGTGATGGAAACAATTAGCGACACAACTACACTTTGGAAATACAAACACAATAATGGATAAGAAAAATAATGAAGACCAAGAAGACAGACTCAAGCACATCTGTTAAGTTTCTGGCTTTAGCAATCTGCCTAAGACTGACACTCTTGGCCGAGATGGGAAGAAGTACAGGTATAGAGACCTATTTTGCCTGGGAGATTTGAGAACTCAGATTTTGAGAATTCTAAATAGGGTCATAAGTAGATTTTGGTTTTTCTAAAACTTTTTGGTGCCACAGGAGTGGTGACGATCAGACAGACAAAAGTGAAAAGACTAACCTCAAAGGAGTGGTAAGAGACAGGGCTCTGAGAAATCTACAGTTTTGTGTTTGGGAAGATGAAGTGATCATGTCATCAAAGGAACTAAGAAATGGCCAGTGAACATGGAATAGATCAAATGGGGCTTCCAATCCCAGCTTTTTGAGAAATCTCCAGACTGATCTCCACAATGGTTGCAACAGTCTGCACTCCCACCAACAGTGCAGGAGAGTTCCTTTTTCCCCACAGCCTCTCCAGCATTTGTTGTTGGTAATTTTCTAGATCCTGGCCATTCTTTCAGGAGTGAGATGGAGTCTCAGTGTGGTTTTAATTTGCATTTCTCCATGACTAACTATGAACATCTTTTCATATATTTCTTTGCATTTGTATTCCTTCATCTGGGAATTATGTGTTCATCTCAGATGCCCATTTTTTGGATTGGATCCTTGAATTTTGGGCGTCTGATTTTTTAAAATCTTTATGTTTTAGACAGAAGACGTTTGTCCGAGGGACAGGTCACTGAGACCGCTTCCTAGTTTGTAAGTTTTCTTTTCACTATGCTAGAGATTTCTTTTGATATGCAGAAACTGTTTAATAAGACATGATACCAGTTGTTGATTCTGGGAAGTATTTCTCATGCGATTTGATTCCTGTTAATGAACTCTCCACCTACCCCTGTGTCCCCAAGTGTTTTACCCAACTTGTCTTCCAATAGATTTAGTGTTTTGTGTTAATATTCAGATCTTTGATCCATTTAGATTTTAATTTAGTACGTGGTAACAGGCATGGGTCTAGTCTTAGTTTCCGCATATGGAGAGCCAGTTTTTCCAACACCATTTATTAAACAGATAGTTGTTCTTCCAGTGAACATGTTTGGCCCCTGTATCAAAGTTAAGGTGGTTAAGTGTGTTTGTAGCTGTGGTTGTATCTTCTAATCTATTCCATTGTTGTTCGGCTCTGGTTTGACTCCAGTACCATGTTGATTTTATTACAGTTGCTTTGTAGTATAACTCAAGTCAGGGATTGTGATACCTCCTGCCTTGCCTTTGCTGCTTAGAACTGTCTTTGCTATTCTATGTCTCTTCTGGTTCCAGATGAATTTTAGGAGTGATTTCTCTAAGTCTGTGAGGTATGTTGATGATATTTTGATTGGGAGTGCATTGACTCTGTATTCAGTGTCTCTCCTGGATTTGGGGAGTGAGAGGGGTCTTCAAATGAATGAGGTCTCCACAGGGTTCGGGGCCACTAACAGGCAGGTGCAGCACCAACCCTTCTAAGTGTTCCATCTTGTTTGATTTCTGAAGAAGCAGAGCTGGGGTTGGAAATGAAATTGATTCCCAGGTTAGAGCCTCTTCTTACGACACTGTTCTCCTTGGGCACTCATGCCCTCATTTTGGTAAAGAATCGAGCATCAGAGGATAAGGTAGCCACACAGACAGACAGGGAGTCCACCCTGAATGGAAGCCTGGGCTCCTATGAACTCTCATTCCATATATTTTCTACTATACCAGCCTCCTTCTCCTACTCTTCCCCAAACATGGGTTCAGAAGACTCTGGCATTATATGGCAAGGTTCTCATGAATTCTGAAACACAGAAGACG